CAGTGAGAATGGCCAGACTTTGTCTCTCGTACTTTGGTCATGTTGTCAGAAGGGATCACTACCTGGAGAAAGATATCATTCCTGGTAAAGTAGAGGGTCAGCGAAAAAGAGGAAGACTCTCAGTGAGATGGATTGACAACAGTGGTTACTACGAGGGGCTCAAGCATAGAAAGGATTGTGAGGATGGCATATGACCAGGCAGTGTTTCATTCTTTTGTACATAGGGTCACTATGAGTTGGAGGTGACTTGATAGCACCTAATAATGACAGCCACAACAAAGGAGCCATGGTAGCACAGTAGTTTAAGTGCTTAGCTGCTAACAGAAATGTTGGCAGTTCAAACCCAGCAGGCTTTCTGCAGGAGAAAATATGGACTCCTAGGAACCAATGATCAACTATCTGTAGGTAAGACCTCAACTTGTGAAACAGTGGAAGAAAGAAGGGACCCAGTCATGCCACATATATTTCTTTCCCCAGTTGTTTAATAAAATTATATACATAGTATCATTTTCACTAGTTTGAAGTGACCTCTGTCTCACCTGACCACCATAATAAAAGACAGTGGAAAGAACATGGATTGGAGGTCATGCCTTGAGTTCCTGGCCTAGATCCCAGAGATCCCACCTCTGCAGAAGCAGAAGGAGCAAGGGAACATGAGGCAATGAAGCTCTTTGGGACTTCAGTTTGTCCAAGAGTTCTTTATGGACTTAAATTTCTCTGTGAAATTTTGAACTCTATTTTTTTTTTTTTTTTAAATAGGAATTTACTAATGGGAGAGGTTTGGATTGTTCTAATTAGGCACACTTTTATGCAAACATGTGACTTTTTTTGGGGGTAGAGGAAGCTAAGATTCACCTATGACAAGTTTGAAAATAGAATTGTTATTGTTATCTGCTGTCGAGTGGGACCTGACTCATAGCGACCCCTCCTTGGGTTTTCAAGGGAGTAGCACTACGGAAGTAGATAGCCCCATCTTCCTTCCGAGGAGTGGCTGGTGGGTTTGAACCATCAGCCTTCTGGTTAGCAGTCAAGTGCCTTAGGCACTACGCTACCAGAGCTTAGTGCATTGTTTGACTTACAAGTAAATTTAATTACAGTCCTCTCCTGGACAGTGTCAGAAGTTTCTAGGTGCAAAATATCAAACTCCTATTTGGCTGGTCTCAGATAAATAGCAGGGGAGAAGCCACCTAAAGGAGACAATAGAATTTCCCTAGAGGGTCCAGGTTGACTTAAATATCTTTTGTTGGGTTATTGGTGGTTCAGTGGTAGAATTCTTGCCTTTCATGTGGGAGATCTAAATTCAATCCCCAGCCAGTGAAGCTCATGCACAGCCTTACCATTCTGTCAGTGGAGGCTTGTGTGGTGTTATGATGTGGGACAGATTTCAGCAAAGCTTCCAAACTAAGACAAGCTAGGAAGAAAGGCCTGGTATCTACTTCTGAAAATCAGCCAATGAAAATTCTATGAATCACAATGGTTTGATCCTCTACTGATCATAGGAATGGCACAGGACAGGGCAGCATTTTGTTCAATGGTGGATGTGGTCACCATGAGCTGGGGCCAACTCCACAGCAGTTAACAATAACAGTGTTTGAGAGAGAACTGACACTGAGCAGGGTGGAGCTCCAGGAAGTGGAACGGGAACTCTCAGTATCTTCCCCACCCTAGGAAAGTTACCTTCTCAATCTTCCTTCCCAACAATCTCCACTGTGTCTTCCAAGAATAGGGAGCTCTCCAGTGACAGGTTAGCTTCTGTAACTTTTATTGGATCATGTTCACAAAGCAGAGATTGCCATACAAAACAAGATTACACTGGCCTGGGGTTTCCTCTCTTCTGTTCTTTCCTGCCAGGGCACTGGATGGGCAAGCTGAGGCAGGACATACTGACAGCAGTAGGCTGGGCTATCTGTTCTTTCTCTTTGCTTTCTATCACCTGCATGTTGCATCTTGTCACAAGAACTTTCAACTCGATGTTCAGACTAGGGTGTAGAGACAATAAAGATTTCTTTGGCCCTTGTGCTTAAGTTTTGGTTTCTAGTCAGACTTCACCAGAAAGCCTGGCACTAAGGATTATGGTCACCAGCCAATAAAACAGTACTTTAATTTTTAATTGATATTCTTTCTTATGTGAATATCTCCTCAGGAATCTCATAAAGAATAGTTATTGACAGGACAGGATTTGGGATTTTTGGAAACTTGGTTGCTAGGGTCCCAACTATCTTTATTTGTCTGCGACTAAGAGGTTTCCTGGGATATGGGACTGTGTGCTATAACCAAGAACGTCCCTAACAAATGGGAATGAGTTGGTCACCAGAGATAAAATGCCATCTTCAGTCCATTAAACTCCATACATAATTCTAACTCTTACTGGCTGTGCGACCTTGGACAAGTTAGTTACCAACCCTTTGAGCTCAAATCCCTCATCTGTAGAAGGGTTTTTTATGAATATTAAATTAGATGCACTAAATTAAATTCCTTAGCAGTATTTCCTAGGCCCATCATTAATGCCAAACAAATAGCATTTGTTTCTATTTCCTTTAATTACTTTTATTGGTACAGCAGAATATAAAATGATTTTATGAGGAAAAAACCCTCAAAAATGAGGGAATTGAATTACATTTGAATGAAAATATTAGAGGAGTTTTCTGAGCCCATATTTTTTTCTCAGCCTTCCACTTCATCGTTAAGCAGCATAAAGACTAGACAATAGTTTAGTAAAAGTCTAAACCAGGGGCTTCACATATAAATGACTTCAGGATCCAGGCAGAGAACATCAGTGAGTGAATTGGGATGAGTGGAACTTGTGGCTGTAAATGGAGCAGGCAAGCATTCAGCCCTAACAGATGGTAGCCACGTAGGGAGGAGCCTGCTCTGCCAGAACTTATGAGTTTTTTCCCCAAGAAGCCACGTGCATGATTTTTTTTTCAATGTGAAATACTAAATTCAATTACTAATTTGAATATGGTGACATCAAAATTTAAACTTCTGAAAACAATACATAAGCCAATCAAAATATTCCGTGGATCTTCATTGCTTCATTGGGTAAAAGAGTGAAATTGATGTTGAAATAAGACAAGCAATCAAAGTTAATTTTACCCATGTCGAATAATCATGCTAAAAGGAAACCAACGCAATTTAATTATGATATCTGAAAAATGACAGGAATTTGTCAGAGTTTGAATTTAGGTTATCTTGTCAACGTAACAACTCAAGACTAAACCTGTTGGGTTACAGGATTATAAAGGTAGAGTCTGTTAGGAAAGCTTTGTGAAATGCTTACAAGCATTACCTAGCTGACAGGTTTCAAAAGAGTTTGAATATTAGTCACCACGTATATTCTTGCCAAAAAGGGTAGTGTATTAGAACATCTGCAGCACACATAAATACCCCCTGCTGAGTTAAGCCCAGAGAGGAAATCAACTTTAAAAGTTGGAGAAAGCAAGGAAGCTGAAACAGCAGAGTTTTGTATTAAGTGGTTGATAGATTTTCTCTGTGGATAAAACAGTTACTGAGAAGCAAGCTAGCTCTAAACATTACATGTTTGACCTCTAACTTTTGGTGGCAAAGAATATCTTTTCAGGATATTTGGGCTCATCCTACTCAAAGAAGCACTTATACTGTATATATAAATGGAATACTAATTCTGTCAAGTACGGGGATACTAGATGATTAATACTCTGACGTGATAATGATATTATGAAATAATGAGAGAATTCACTCAACTGTGGACCATATCTAATTGCATTATAGGATTAACTGTTAAAAGCAAACATGTCATAACATTTACTTAGGAAGAAGCAGAGCCTATTGTACTGTTTTCTGGAGCTTTATCAAATAGTGCAAAAATATAAATTCAAATAGAGCTAGCTTGCCAACTGGAAAGAACCATCATAGTTATAGTCAGAGACTTGAGACTATGGAGCCTCCATTTCTGGTCGCGGGACCATTCCTCAATAAGCAACATTATTTTGTCACAGGACAGAGGAGGTTTGTGACTGCCACAGATTTCTGCGGGTCCTGGGTATCAGGGGAAGCAGCTCAGTTAAAAAAAAAAAAAAATCCATGTGTATGGCATTCTTAGGATGTCTGTATGGGGTTTTTCTTCAAAGATCTATGATTAGTTACTTTTCTTTTTTGATTCAACATAACCAAATAGCACAGGTATAGGGGGCAGAATTTTCCTTTTGTCTTTTGCTTTCATTTTTTCTTGTGAAGAAGAAAAACAATTGATTCAGACTTTAAATGTTGCTCTTGAGCCTACTAATTATATAAAGCCAAACAGAAAATCCTATACCAAATTCCTTTTTCTTTCTGAGGAAAGAAATAAGGGAGGGAAGGAGGGAAGAACAGAGGAAGGAAGAAAGGAAGGAAAGAAGGAAGAGAGAGAAGGAAGGGGGGGTGGAGAGAGGGAGAGAGAGAGAGAGAGAGAGAGAGAAGAAGGAAAACAAATAATCAAATAACTGTGAAATCATTTAGCTCAAACTAGAGCTCTTAACCCTCATTACATTGACAGACTTTGCTTATAATAGAAAGACCTCTGATGGGTGGTAAGGTTATGATTTGCGAACTGGCTTTTTGAACTTAGAAAATGTTGGTGTAGAAGGGTGATTTTTTTTCTCTATTGATCTACAATTTACCAGTTATGCAGCTTTGAGAAGACTTGTTTGAAACCTAAGATCATGACACAAGATCTCAGCATCATTGCTGGCAAATTTTGTGCAATATGAAAGATACTTCCATAGAATTAATCCTTTAAAGACAGTAAGAGTCGATGATGAAACTACACTCTGGAGTTCGAAAAGAGACGAGGCTGCTTTAAGAGAGAAACAGGAAGTTGTAACTAGAAGCCATCTGAATACTAAGCCAGGGCAGATGCTTGTGAAGTAGCAACTTAAGTGGCAGTGTTTATTCTGAAATTCTCAGGCAGCCAGGCTGTCTTAAGCAAACCTTGACTTTCTTTATCTAGGATTTTATCTGAAAAATCCCAAGAAGACTGGAGAATGGAGAGACAAAGAAGGTTCATGTCAGGGAAGGATGAGTATCAGTTTCAACATCAGGGAGCTGTGGAGCTGCTTGTCTTTAATTTTTTGCTCATTCTTACAATTTTGACAATTTGGTTATTTAAAAACCATCGATTTCGCTTCTTGCATGAAACTGGAGGAGCAATGGTATATGGTGAGTGCCTAAATTGCGGGATAGATGTGAAACTTGTTGCTTGGGCATAATTAGAGACTTGTGTTCAGATGGCAAAGTACTGACCGAAACTGGAGAAAATGTGCTGATTGAAATGTCATTAGCTTGATGAAAGTTGCTGCAGCTTAATGCATGCTCATCCCTTTCTAGACAAGCTGGGGAAATTTGCCTTGTCGCAAGAATAAATGTCACAGTCATGTTCTCACAAGGCACATAATGCAAGTCTGTTGACAGATAAGGGTCCATTGTCATGTGGGGAGTCAAACTGGGTGAACTATTTGTTTTTACAATGATATTGGAAGCAATAGCTCTGTAGCCACAAAGAGCTGCCTTCTTTCCTGGGAGGGACTGATGAGCATTTTAAAACTCTAGAAATAACATAAAAATGCTATGAAGTAAATCCTCTTACATCAGTTTCAAGAAGAAGACTCTTGCAGAAATACACTCCACCCCCTCACTATAATGATCACGTCCAAACCTGTTTTAATTATACGAACAGTATTTTATTTTCTTATACACATGACTTTCTTTACTCAGTACTTTTCATATCTCAGCCTGGTTTCAAACTTTTCAATTGATCATTATTAGTATTATTTGCTCTGTGTATAATTTTTATTTATTTATTTTTGGAGCCCCAGGTTTGGAAAAGCATTTATTTAAGGTCTTAAACTCCCAAAGCATTGTTATTTCTATGCAAAATTGACCACATCATTCTTTTTAGGAAGTTTAATAAAGTATGAGAGTGATTATCCAGTCTACCTTCTCTCATCTTTTGAGTAAAATGCAAGACATCAATGGTTTTCAAATTGATGTTATTGATGAAATAGTTCATTTCACCACTCTTATCTCAGCCTAATAATGGATAATAACTTTTGAACATAATGGAAGCAGGTTAGGCATTGTTATAATTCATAGCAAGTAACATACAAATATCTTTATATTTGGGCTTCCCTCAGTTTTGAAAATCCTGAAATCCTTTTATATCCCAGAGGTTCAGGGAACGGGATCAGGGCACATTTCATGTGTTAACCATGTGATCTGATGTTAAGGATGTATAGTCATGATTTGAAGTTAAGAAATCCTATGCCTTAGCTGGATCCTGCTGTGAGATACTTGAGCCACAAGGTGGAAGTTTCAGTCTAAGCAGTGTAATTTCTTTTCATCAGCATTTTGAGCTGATCCCTTCAGAGCACAGAGTTCAATTCCTTTATATGGAAAGTGTCAAAGTACTTCACAAAATTCTCACTTGAAGCAAAACACAAAAATCACATCAGTTGATGAGTAGTCAAAAAGAAAGGAAGTGGTGCTGTCAACTGTAAAGCCCTAGGCTCCAGTCTTTTACTCTTCTCCATCAATGCACCAGGCTCTTTCTCTTGACTTTGCTAATAAATAAACAAGGATACAGGATGTAATCTGAGAAGCCAGGAACAATGTAATTGGTGAGATTAAATTGAAGGGCTATGTATGGTTTAGCAATATACCAGTTTTGGAACATTGCAAACTTTATTGGAGGACACTATTTTTTCACAGCCCTAAATGTGTTAAACTATGAATCATTTATCAATTTCAGCTTATTTGTGATAAGGATATTGTTTGATAAGGTTAGGTTAAGTTGTGGTAATCTATTAAAATTCAAACATAGTAAATAAAATAAAATAAAATAAAAACTCACTGTAGTTAAATCCGTTCCGACTCATAGCGACTTTCCAAGGCAGTATCTCCACGGAAGTTGATTGCGCAGTCTTCCTCCTGAGGAATGGCTGGTGGGTTTGAACGGCCAGCCTTCTGGTTAGCAGTCATATGCCTTAGGCACTATGCCACCAGAGCTCCATATTATGCATTCAAAATACAAAAATGTAACTTTTGGTTTTGAATTTGAACAAATGCAGATTATCTTTAATCCTTACAAACTCCATGAAATATATCTTGTTGTTGAAATCATAAAATAAAACTATTAGTGCATTGTCCACTGTTGAGATAACATTTCTCTAGCTTTCTATTCTTAAGGCATTTTACACCAAGTCTTACCAGTGTGGAGTTCAGTTGGGCTTTCTGATTTTGTCATTCTTACATTATATATATATACATATGTGTATATATACACACATATATTATATATATATATATATATATATACGTATGTGTGTGTGTGTATATATATATATACATATACACACACACACACATTTGTGTTAGTTATTCGAAGTTCAAAACAATGTACAATGCAAAGTATTATAGAAATTATAAAGATGGAATATATAGATAATTATTCCATTGCTGGAATTTTGAGCACCACTGAGTTATCTTAAACTATATAAAATAGTGAAAACGTTAATTTTTGATTGGCATAGAATCTCAATTGTTGGAATTTAAGGGGAACTATTCCAGCCTCCTCATTTACAGAGGGAAAAGCTGAATCCAAGATAAGTAAAGGGACTTCCCTAAACTGAATAGCCACTTATGGCAGGGTCAATGTGCTTTTACTCATTCTCATCTGTTAGTAAAGTTCATGTCCATTTTAAAGGAGCTCTCACTGATATTATAAAGATAATTATTCTGAAAATAGTCCATATGGATGACATTAGTGACTTCTTGTATTTCTTTTTCAATCATGATCTAAGTATTATATCTAAAATGTTTATTGGGGACTTTTTGTCAGTGATGTAATGAAATTGTCTGAAGCTACAACAGAGAAACAAGATTAAATATTCTGATAAACACTTTCTAATGATAAGGGAAAAGGAGATGTCAAGTGAATTAATTGTCCAGCAGCTATAAATGAAACTGGAATTCACAGATTAAGAAGGAAACTTGGAAATCCTAAATCCAACATCCTCATTTTGAAGATAAAGAAAAAAAACTTTGCGAGGTAAAAGCCATGCACTGTTAGCTGCTGAGCTGCAATCCAACCTGCATCTCTTTACTTAGAGATGTAAAAGAGATTTTAAAATAACTAATTTTTTCAGTGTGCTTTCTGGAGAGGTGTGTATGTGAGATCCAAAAGTATCCTCCGACTGTTCATGCTTTCAGGATTAGTCAGATTCTCCTTTCCAAAATAGTCCATAAGAGGGAAATTTCAGTGAACTTCATCAGTCAGACAAACTAAGGATTCTTGTTAGAGCCCTGCCAGGTGCATGGTGACAATCAATGGGGAAGAAAAGGAACAGACTTATATTTCATATTTGTACTTTTAAAAGCTTTTTTTTAAAGGAGATGAGTATTTGAGAGTAAACTGTAGTTGAATTATCTCCATCCTACAGACACATGTGCTTGTAATGAAACATCTTCTAAGGTTTAGCCACCCTACACATAATGCTTATCAGTTTCTCTACTGGGCAAAATACTTCTCTTGCTTTCAGTGACTATTTGTGTAATGTATCATTTGCCTCTATATAAAAAACCATAAATATTTTTCTCAAGCATCAAATTTCTGTAGTATCTCTTCTCAGTCCACCATCTGTCATTCTGCTAGTGTTCCACTGGATGTGTTAGATGTTCCTTGGAAGATGCAACTGATGTTAATGCATTTCTCAGTACACCTGAAGATCCAGATAAAAAATTCTAGGGAGCAGGGACTTAGGAAATGACCCATGAGAGTAAAATGAGGAGGAAAATGACCAAAAACAACCTCTAGCTGCTCTTTTACAGTTACATTTAGGAAAAAAAGGTGCAAGATGTGCACCCTAAAATATCATATGAAGGATTGTGAGGGCCAAGAAAAATGTGTGGTTCTCTATTGGACTCTGCATTTACTGGAGATAAATCTGATACTACAAATACAATAGTTCACTATATGAAAAAATGGATGTTCTGAAGTTATTAAGGGTCACCGGATGCTTTTAAAAACTAGTAGAAGCATTATAAAAATACTTTTGCTTCATCAACAATAGTAATGGGTAATCGTTTCTCATGATTTCAACAGTGCTCATTATTTCAAAATTGAAGGATTAGAATCTATAACTGGTTTAAAATTTAAGCCATAGGATCTTCATTTAAATTGGACTAAAAGCTTAAATGACTATTAATGGTCAAAATATTGATTGACAGCAGCTGGTGTACTTAGCTCTCCTCACTTACGGCCCTGTATCCCTTACTCATTGTTCATAAAAGAAAAATTACTCCTTGCTCCCTGATTGCATTAAGAATTCCATTACTTATCACTGGGGGCTCCCACATTAAAGGACATTCTGAGGGACAGGATCTGAGTTTAGAAAAAGAGTAATTTAACCCTCTTAGAATTCAGTCTTTGATTTCATGACCTTACAATATAAGGGACAGTCTCTGAAATCATGTGAAAAATTTTCTCATTGTTCAGGGCAGAAAGGAAATTTGAGCCACAAAGTTTTAGATTTTGAATTAATTAAACTATGGCATACTAGGGAGCCCTGGTAGCATAGTGGCTAAGGCACTTGACTGCTAACCAGAAGGCTGGTGGTTCAAATCCACCAGCCACTCCTCGGAAGGAAGATGGGGCAATCTACTTCCGTAGTGATACTGCCTCGGAAACCCAAGGAGGGGTCACTATGAGTTGGGTCCGACTCGACGGCACACAACAACAACAACAATGGCATATTAAATATTTTTGGTCCTCTAAGAGTATATTTAACATTTTAATAAACCAACTTAACTCATTCAACAGCATTTTTTTTTCAAAATTTAAAGTAAATATGGTGACATAGTGAACGAGCAAGGTTTTAAAAAGCTATATTTCCTAAAAATATCTCTTAAAACATTAATTTTATCCTAGCAATTTCTTGAGGTTCTTTAGGATAAGATTGGGTTGTTGGACCCAGTGTGGCTCCATCCTACTTGACTTTGCCAGTTCAGCCCTGCTCCATGAGTATTAGGCCCATGAGAGATGCTTACTCCCACTCCATCCCCTTTTCCATGCCTGGAAGATCCTTCCAAGGCATTATGCATTACTTTATGGAGCAAGCATCGGGCACTTTCTTGGGGATTTGAGTTTTAATCCTGATGATTTT